AATTAGTAATTTGTCATTCTCATATTTGTCATTTTGGTCCACGTGTAGTCAAATTTCATCGCATGTAATGAATTGAGGAGGTGGATCACACGAAATTGACATCCTCGGGTCCCAAACATGGGTGCCTCCACAACTCAATTCCCCTGGCGCACCGCCGACGGAATTGAACCACGTCAAATGGTTTAAGGACAAGTGGATCCAAGGAAAACCAGGCACGACTACCCATGCTACTTCATCTTTCCTTAATCTGCCTTTTTACCCACCATATCCATGGAAAATAAATAATAAGGTTAATACCACGAAAAATCCTAAATTGGTACATCTGTGACAATTTTACCTTAAATTATTTTTTTTATCATAAAAAATCTAAAACTGGTACATCTGTGATAAATTTACCCCGAACTATTTTTTTGACCATCAAAAACCTCAAACTAGTATACTTGTGACAATTTTACCCTGAACTAAATTTTTAATTTTTTTTTTGAATTTTTTATTTATTTTTTTATTTTCTTTTCTTTTTTTCCTTCATCTTCTTCATCTTCAACCTCTGACCGGTCGCTGGACCGGTGACCAGCCAGAGGTGGAAGCCGGCAAGGTTAGCCCCGCCGACGAGCCCTAGCCAGTTGCCATCGAGTTCGAGCCTTGCCAGATCTAGTGAGGGCTCTGCCCCACCAATCGCTGGCAAGGCTCGACCTCACCGGCGCTGGGCAAGGCCGACCTCACCGTTGCAGGGCTAGGGCGACTTCGCTAATTGTCAGCGAGTTCGAGCCTCGCCAGATCTGGTGAGAGCTAGGTCCAGCCGGCAAGCATGGCGGCCAACCGGGCCGCGCCTCTAGCCGAGAGCCATCGAGCGCTGGAAGACGCCGCCATTGCAATTGTTGCTGCTGTGTTGAAGCTTCGAGGGAGCGAGAGCTCTGCTAGAGAGAGAGAGAGAGAGAGAGAGAGAGAGAGGCGCGGCCATGTCGGCCGTCGTGCTCGCCGGCAACTGGCGAGGTCGGCCTCACCCTGCAACGACGAGGTCGGCCTCGCCCAGCGCCGGCAAGGTCGAGCCTCGCTAGCGGCCGGTGGGGTCGAGCCCTTGCCAGATCTAGCGAGGCTCGAACTCGCCGGCAATTAGCGAGGGCTCGTCGGCGGGGCCGACCTCGCCGGCTTCCGCCTCTGGCTGGTCGCCGGTCCAGCGACCGGCTAGAGGTTGAAGATGAAGGAAAAAAAGAAAATAAAATAAAATAAAAAATTTGAAAAAATAAAAAGATAATATTAAAAAATTAGTTTTTGGTAAAATTATCACAAGTGTAACAGTTTTGGGTAAAATTGTCACAGCTGTATCAGTTTAGGTTTTTCGTGATATTAACCCTAAAAAATAACAATACTGAATAAATAAAATTAAAGCAGGAGTCGTCCTTGACGTGGAGATACCTCGAGTGGCTTGACCATAGAGTTCATATGCTTCTTATATATTTACGTGATTTATCTTTACCTATTGATTTAAATTTTTATTTAGACTTTCTTATAATTCATGTATGCCAACCCCGTCCGTCAAATTTCATGTGTCATAAATTTCCGACTTACACGTGAAAGGGGTATTGAAATACCCAATATGCTCATCTATTGGTTTAAGCAATTGAGCCGGAATTTCTAACAATTTGGTATACACGTTTTGGATTTTCATGTATTTTTTTTAAAATTTCCTTTTTGAGACCAGATCTCTTTCCTTTGATCTTCTTGGGACGTACCCGGTACTACATTCTCACCCGAACCTCCATGGACGTACGCGGTACTACACGATCGATAGATGTTGGCACAGAACTTCCCACTTCCAAAAAATTATAAATAAATAAATATTGATTACGTGAAATTAGCAAAGACTTCACCTAAGCAACAATTGAACTTCATGAAAAGTTTAGATCAACAGAAGTATAGCCAATTTTCGTAATATTTTTTTTTAATAATAGGGATAATTTTTTTTAACATATGTGAATTATCCCCATTATTTTTAAAGAGCTTGAGCCACTAAATTCTTTATAACAACAAATTCGACTGTGAAAAAGAAATAGAAAGGCAAAGGTTGGAAAGAGAGGACGAACGAGCAGAAGATCGATACCAAGATTCATCCGTGGTGGATAGAGAAAAGATACAAATGATCTCTACCGAACAGAGGCACGAGCGGCTATGCTCGCTTATTCAGTTCCAGTCTCAGTACATAAAATATTTGACTGAACAAGAACTAGTGCATCAGTAAGGTGGACGGGGATGAGGGTGGTGAGGTCCCGGCGGCGGCGGATGGCCCGGTGGTCCTGGCGGTGGCGGGTGAGCGAACGGCGGGGGAGGCGGACCGTGAGGGTGAGGCCCCGGCGGCGGGGGCACCGGCGGGTGAGCGAACGGCGGGGGAGGCGGACCGTGAGGGTGAGGGCCCGGCGGCGGGGGCACCGGCGGACCTGGCGGAGGGGGCGGGTGGTGGAAAACTGGGGGAGGTGGCCCCGGCGGTCCTCGCGGCGGCGGCGGCGCGAAGGGATCAGGGGGCGGCGGGGGATGATGGTGGCCGTGAGGAGGAGGCATTCTGAACTGGAGCACCGGCGCGAGGCTCTTGTGAGTTTGAGTAAGAAGATTGATGCGGTGGTGCGGGGATTTAGATAGAGAACATCGAGTATAAATGATGGTACGAGACTAGAAGCTCGTGGAAAACTAGGATTTGTTCGAGGACTGGTGGTTGGAAGTTGAATTACCGTTGGTTTGGTGCGAGAAAGGATTGTCTTATAAGTTTATTCCATCGTTGACATGAAAACCAATCAAACTTTCATCTCAAGGAAACTTCGTAATTTTGGTGGTTTAATAGGGAAATTTCAAAAATGGTCTCCATTTTTTTTTTTTTGCGCCTATGCCAATTTGTTCTCATTTTTTTTTAAAATTAACGATCCGTGTCCCGAATTTCAATATTAGATTTCAAATTGAAAAAAATTACCAAAAAGTCCTAAATCTATTTCAATTATGTCAATTCAATCCTAAACCTTATTTTTAGCCAATTCAGTCATAAATCTTGTGCAATTATGCTAATTCGGTCTTTTCGGCCAATTTTAACTAGCCGGCGCTGACGTGAAAGTTGATCGGCACCGGCTGACGCAAACACGGCAATTTTTTAACAATTTTTTTTTTTTTTCCGAATTTTTTAATACTTTTTTCCTTTTTTCTTTTTTTTCTTTTCATTCTCTTTCTCTCTTTTTTTTTTCCTTCCTTCTTCCTTTGGCCAGTTGTTGGACCGAGGCAACTGGCCAAAGGCCTTGCCGCCACTGGCGAGGCCAACCTCATTGGCCCCTGATGAGGCGTGCCCTTGCCGAATCTAACGAGGTCGACCTCACCCCCGCCAAACCTCGTCTCTGGTCGGTCGCCTTGGTCCGGCAACCAGCCAGAGGAAGAAGGAAGGAAAAAATATAATTAAAATATTCGAAAAAAAGTTAAAAATTATCACGTCAGTGTCGGCCAGACAGCCGGCGCCGGCCAGCATCCATGTCAACATCGGTCGCCAAAAATTTGCTGAATGGACTGAATTGGCACAATTACATTCCATTTTGGACTGAATTGGCTAAAAAAGGGTTTAGGACTGAATTAGCATAGGTTTATGACTTTCTTTATAATTTTCCCTTTCAAATTGTGTCTTTCATCTATTACTGTGCTTCTTCTTCCAATTTAACGATTTGTTGTTTTAACCGTTACAAGCGTTACAGATCTTAAAGCAAAGGTTAGTAACAGTCACAATTTCAATCTAGATGCTACGAGCTCAATCAAAGCTAGAGAGAGAGAGAGAGAGAGAGAGAGAGAGAGAGAGAGAGAGAGAGAGAGAGAGAGAGAGAGAGAGAGAGAGAGATGGGTTTAAGGGGTTGGTTGAGGCGGTGGTGAGGGCCAAGGGGTTGGTCGAGGCGGCGGTGAGGGCCAACGTGTCAATCAGTAGCGGCGGTGGCGGGTGGTGGTGGGGCTTGGGTGAGGTTGTTTTATAGTTTAAGCTTAGTGTCTTCTAGGATTCCTATTGAAGGATGGGTAAATGGGTCTTTTCAGTCGCATGTTCTGATTGGGATACAAATTGTAGATTTTAGAAGTTAGAGGATGCAAATTACAAAAAATTTGGGTGAAAATTGAATATGAGATTTTTGAAAATTTTCCCCATTTACTAATTAATCGAAGAACGCTCGTCCAACATATGTGTACCATGTCTACATGTATCCTTGGTTGAAGGAAGTTTCCTCTTAGCTTTTGGATCGGTGAGTTACAAATTTAGACACCACCTTTGTTCATATTCAAATTAAGTTCGAATGTAAGTAATGTTTATAATGTATAATTGCCAAACCAGAGACACGGAAAGTTACGTCTCTCTGAACAGACGTGTTTTCATGATGAGTGATGTGTCGAAGGAAGAGGAATACTTGCATGAACGAGATTATGAAGATGTACCTCTTAAAATGGTAACTCTGATTTTTCACATGTCAATTTTCTCTTAAAATTAATGGAACAAGATGAATTGTTCAAGCAACAGCACGACATTCACATGACAATCAAGGCCCACTGTATAAGAGCAGATAAACACAGGCATTCTCTGTAGCAGCCCATCGGGCGAGCTCATGTGTGGCCCGACCACGACCCAATCCAACCAGTCCGCTACTCCATTGGCCTCTCTCTACCCTAATGGACTAGGTGAAAATCCGAAAAACTAGATCAACAGATCACCGCCCTCCATGATAAGCACTCTCTCTTCCCATGCAAACTTATCTGCACACTCCAAGGCTTCTATCAAAAGCTAAACTATCTGACTCTAACACCAAGCGTTCGTGCTTCCTAGATAGGGGAATGCTTTAGGGTTTTCATTTCTGCGTCATATCAAAATTTCACTAATCAACTGCCAGAGATTGATTACGTCGAGACAGTAATGAATCTTGCAATGAGTCGAACATAAATTGGGAAAATATCGCTCCTTCGAAAAGGGAATTGAATTACCATCCATAAGTTGGCATCTAATCTAAAGCCCAAGCCGTCCTAGTTTCTTTGCATCACTATTCTCTCCGTCTTGTATTGTAGACTCTCTCTCTACCTGCCCTAGAGAAGCCCAACAGTAATTTTCACTCATTATTTGGTTCTTCAGCTCTTATCCTTGGCTTCCCTTCGCTCGCTCAGACACGCTCCCGCACATCGACGCACCATGAGCTCAAGACCCAAGAGCAGCAACATCACCCCCGAGTCTCTGTGGACATGGACGACGACCACCCCGAACGGCAAGCCCCGGAGGAAGAGGGGCGACAAGCGTTCCCCCATCACCGAGTTCCTCCAGGACAAGCACCAGCAGCTCCAGGAGCTGGTCCCGGGTCCAGGGGCCGGCTTCGGGGTCGGGTGCGGAGCCGGGCTGGGCCTCGGCATGGTCGGCGGGCTCGGCTTCGACGGCTCGCCGTGGAGCCACCTGAAGCTGGTGTTCGGGGTCGGCATGGGCTGCGGCGTCGGGGTCGGCTTCGGGTACGGGCGAGGATTTGGATACGGCGCTAGCTTGGAGTCCCTGTCCAGAGACTCCAAACGGAGCTCTAAGTCTGAGAGAAGGATTATCAATTTGTAGCCTGAGATTGAACCCTTTTATGGCAATTTGGTTTTTTGGCTGGCTTTCCGATTCTGTGTGCTTATTGAGTGTTTGGAATGGTGCATTGCATCTTTCACTCTAACTTGGTGGTTTGTGAAGAACATCTGCAGATCGATGTTTCATTGAGATAATCGCATTAGCCATTGACTTTGTCAGAAGATTAAGCTGATGGCAAAAGAGACATGAAAATAAGTTGCTTTTCCTGATAATAATATGACTGTGATGTTAGGAGCCAAGTTAAACAAAGCCTAGAACATTCGAATTCTGGGTTCCCAATGTGACTGCCTGAATTTGGGTCCTTGATACATGTAGGTGTTAGATCTTCTATAACTCGCAATTCGATTAACAGTCTTTCGACACGCGAGCTTCCTTTTTCCGATAAGCAAGTTTTGTGAATTGATATCAAAAGGTTAATAGAGAGAAAGAGACCCATGAAACTTCTACGAGTCTATGTTTTGTTTTTGAGGGAGAAGGATCCTTCTCCTGGTGGTAGCAATCCAATTGCCATTGACCCACTCCAGGTGCATCCTTAGGTCAGAATCAGAGAAAGCTAGCCTCTCTCCACTATTCTCGAAATGCACGACGTACGTTGACCCTTCTCTGCCGGTTATCCTCCCTGTCCACCACCCGTCGTTGTAAAGTGCATCGACCCTGTCGAGCATCGCAAATCCGGCTGAGGCGGTCGGTAACAACTTAGCGGGCGGCGTGGGGCGGATATCCTCGCCTCGGATGACCTCTCTCAGAGGACCCGACTCGTCTTCCTTCAACAGCTCCCTGTACTGAACTAGGTAGAACTCATTCTGGATGTAAGTTACTATAGTTGCCTTGTAGTAGGAACCTATGAAGCCCTCTTCTTTGCTGGCGATCTCTACTTCTTGCCCTGGAAGAAACCTCATTCTCGCTCCGGGTAGCGAATTACAGAGAGCGAGCATGTAAAATCTACATTTGTTGAATGTTTGTGGTGCCCTTTTGGCATGGTAAGAAATAAGAGGAGCTCTGCAGAATATCTTTTTGTTGCCCAGAAAGTGCATGCAAGGTGCGTGTTGATTCTAGTACAATCTGAAACAGAGGACCTTCCTTCCTTTGAGTGGACAAGATTTTACCACATCAATGTTTGGTTGCAAGAGTCATGCTTTAGAGACGTTCACATCTGCAGCAATAGATGAAGAACGTTGTCTGTGATTATCGAAAGGACCATCAGAAGAACCTACTTGGAGATATCCGTATTGCAACTGGCGATAGTACTCGTCTATTCGCGTTTGCATTCTCTCTAGTCTAGCCAAAATGACTGTAGAAGCTACAAAAAACTGGATCCAATAGAGGATCCGTAAAAAAGAAAGAATTAATGACATCCTGATCGTGCGAGATCAAGGGTGGAAAAGGACCAAATTGGGCTATTTGATGTCCATTCAGAGCACGCTACATTCGCTCACGAAACATAAAAAAAAAGTTCCTCCACAGATTAAAGGGCCAGTAGCCAAACAGAATCACCTTCCCCCTGATTCCATGTCTGCCAGTGATCGACCGGCAGTAGGTGATATGCATCCAATGCCGCTCCTCTCATCCAGACGGCTCTCGTTTTGAGTCTCCGCGGCCTGCGTTTTGGGAACATCCTCTGCAATCACGGCCTGTGTATTCGTACACGACTCCAATTCTTCAAAGGAAACATAAGGCCTCCAACCTGCAAACATACGGATTTGTGAAACTTCCTCCGAAAAAATGGTTATTCCTTCCCCATGTTCTCATCCATCAAGGTCTAAAGAAAGATTACGTAATTAACTTTCAATGATCTTGCTCTCTTTTATCTTGTTCCATTATGAGGCACGACTATAACCCTGCCAATTTAGGGAGTTGGAGTACCAGTAATCTTATTATCGGAATAAGATAACTACAAGATATCGACAACGAATTTTTATGATGACTGGGAGGTCATAACATATTGACTCGAAACATACCTTCAGCGTGATATGGAGGTGGAAAGAACTGCAAATAGCAAAACACTGCTACCGTAATCCCTGCAAAATTTCTTCTGCACGTTAAGCCAAAGAATCAAACTTGCCGCCGCTAACTCCCACAAATTGCGGAAAACAGCAGCACAAACCTAGGAGACCTCCAGTAATGACATCCTGCCGGTGATGCCTGTGGTCATCTAGCCTTGAAATGCCGACAAGAGATGCAACAAGAAGCGGGACAAAGATGATGCACAATTTTGCAACATGACCTTTGTGATCAAATGCTTTAATTTTCCCAGCTAAATAAAGAGATAAGAAACCAAGACCTGCAAAGGACCCTGCACAATAAAATCCAAGCTATTCACATACTCACAAGATTTGCTTGTGTAATAGTCTGATACAATCATTCTTTTTCTCTTTCGCATTGAGCATTTGGACAATACTTTTTAAGATAACAGAGGGAAATCCTTACATGAAGTATGCCCGCTAGGAAAACTCTTGTGCCCATCATCTATGACACTTCTTTTACCATGACAAATGACATTTCCCAATTGATCATACACCTACGAATCAATCCAAGTTTTAGATGCTGCAATCAGACTTGCCCTAGGATAGTCAGTATATTCTGCTTGATTCATATTCACCTACATCTTTCCCATCTGGAAAACAACGCCAAAAGAAGTCTGGCCGAGGCCGGCCAGCTGCAAGTTTTATGGCATCTGTTATCACTGCAGTGAATGTAGCAGAATACAAGAGCCCTGCCTAAACAGCCTTTGTTTAGCATATTCTTGAAAAAACACCCACCACCATTGAACGATGAGCAGAGGATACATGAGAATGGCACAAAAAGAAACTTTCACCTAGTACAGCGTGATGAAGATCATAGATATCTCTCCTCCGAAGATACACGACAATGAATATCACCATTGGCAACAGAAGGGCATACATCTAATTTTTGTTGGGAAGAAACAAAAGGAAAGTGTAAACCGCCACCAGTAAAAATTCTTAAACTTACAGACTGACTATTAAGGGGACAAGAGTAGTGCAAAGCATGCCTACCGGAACAGCCCAGAAAGGCACTGTGTCTCTCTCCAGTGGATACTTGAGATCAGTCATCATACCCTTCCCGACAAAGCAATAAAACGGCTGTATGAGAAGCAGGAGGGACCAAATGACCACAAGAAGCATAAGGATCAGCCAATCATATATGTATGTCCTTGTGACTATCATTCCATTGGACCTCGTCATATTTGAAGCAATCTGGCTCAGCATACAATGACTGCACATGCCAGATATCCAAAACTATTAGTATAATCTTTATCAAAATTGAAATGTCCTAAAATAAAAAAAAGAAAAACGAAAACATCGATGCCGTCACATAAGTGCTTTGGTTGATGAACTCATTTCAGTTTCCCTCTTCCAGAAAGAATAGTAACATCATTGAAGATTTACCCAGTATGCAGGCACGTATACTAGAAACTTGAGTCCTCTGTCAGATATAAATGAAATCAAACAGGAAAAGTACTATCAAAGAAAGGAATAAACCTGTTGGTTTTTCTGCTCTATCAAAGGAATCTTGATTATTGGAAAAGAACTGCTGCTTATCGCAAAAGAGTATAATCTTGAGCTTTGCACCTCCTCCTAGAAAACCACACAAAAAAATAATTTCCAGATCTAATAAATTTAGCCAAGCAACTTCGATTGTTTCTGATAATAAAAGGGTCCTCCCACATCATTCACTCTGATACACTTCTGGGAAACTGAATCTGCGAACCATTTAATGCAAACCACGCTATCTATGAACACTGCACTATTTGCAAGCTCGAAGGACACAAACCCTTAGACAAGCACAAAAAGGTCAGTTTTCCAGGGTTTTGATGAAAAAGAAGGCTTACAAATTTACAAGGTGTATTAATGGACTTTGATATGTGTGTATTCTACTTATGGAGTTCCTTTACAAGTGTAAAAAATAACTGGCAGGACTCTTATAGTAACTGCACAATGATCAAAGTGAATTTCTCTTATTGCTCTGAGTCTGATAATGAATGCAAAAAACTATTTCAATAGGAACAGAATTTGAACATCTCTTGAAATAATAATATAGCAGTTTCTCGATGCAATAGCCAATAGCCAGTAAAGCTTTCCAGGGAAGGGGGGATATTCACGTTTGTGCCACTTATTTAAACTAACGCATTTGGTTGAAGGGAATGGGCAAGGACGTGTCTATTCCCTTTCTGTTGTTTGGTTTGGCAAAGGAAAGGAGTGCCCCTTCGTTTCTCATGCAGATGCAATTTCTGTCGTGATACATTTCAGGAAGTATTTTCGATCTTTTGTTACTACTTCCCTTACCTTTCAACGTTGTTCCTCTTCGCCGCTAACAGAAAAAAATAGAGAATGCAATCCCATTAGCTCATTTTATTCCCTCTTCAATTCCATTTGCTCACTGATTCCACTTATTGCAGAGCCAGGAATTTCAAATCACCATCAGTAGGACATCTCACTCTCACTCTCACCCCCACTTTCCACTTTCCCTTCCATTCAATTAAGCATGAAGCCACGAAACTTTGATTCTGAAACCATCCATTTATTCTCTTCTTTTTTTCTCAATGAAAAGTTTCTCTCTCTTTCGTAATGTAAGCCAAAACCGATTCGCGAATTGTCTACACCGAATCGCTAAAGCTAAATACATCAAGAACACCAACGAGTCAAGGTCGTATAATTCCCCTCTTCTCACCATTACAACGACCTCACAAGCAACTTCAATAGCAAGAGAATCTAAAGTGAAGAGAAGACCCACCAATCTGAGAAACCCCCAAAAAGAAGATGCCATTCAGAAAAGAAAGAAACCCAAAATTCCTCCAATGCACGGTTTCAATTCAATGTGAAGCAACCACCCAACGAAGGGCCAACCGCTAATGGCGGTTCACTTGCTCATCAAGCATTTAGTCGAACGAGAGAATGATGCATCCATTTTCTTAATTCTACTCTCTTTCAGCGGTGACCCACAAATATTGGAGTGGGATTCTGACAGGAAGCTTCCCATTTTGTTGGGATCAGCCCAATCTTAGAGAATTGAAGAGAGCGACTACAAAGAATCTACATATGTTGATTGTTTGTGGTGCCCTTTTGGCAGGTTAAGAAAAAAGAGGACTTCTGCAGACAAAAAATACTTTCTTTATGCTCAGAAAGGGCATGCAAATTGCATGTCGATCCTAGTACAATTTGAGACAGAGGACCTTCCTTCCTTTGACTGGACAAGGTTTTACCAAATAAATATTTGGTTGCAAGAGTAATGCTTTAGAGACGTTTACATCTGGAGTAATAGATGAAGAACATTGTCTGATTATCAAACAGAGCATCCGAAGAAGCTATATGGATATATCAGTTATGCAACTGGCAACCATATTTGTCTATTAGCGTTTGCATTCTCTTTAGTTTCACCAAATTGACTGTCGAAGCTACAAAAACTGGATTCAACAAAGGATTAGTAAAGAAAAAAATTAGTGACATCCTGATCTTGAGATCAAGGGTGGGAAAGGACCAACTGTGCAAATTGATGTCCATGCAGAGCACGCTACATTCATTCATACAAAAAAAAAAGGTCCTCGATAATACTTGTCAGAGGCTTGCCCAAAAAAAGGACAAAAAACAAATTGGAGATACTAAAACTCTACTCTGTACAATAGGCTTTAGAGATTAAAGGGCCAGTAGACAAACAAAATCACCTTCCCCCTGATTCCACGCCTTGCGGTGATCGACCGGAAGTAGGTGATAGGGTCAGGCCCATGCATCCGATGCCACTCCGCTCATCCACACGGCTCTCACTTTGAGTCTCTGCAGCCTGCGCGTCAGCCGCACCCACTGCATTCGCGGCCTGTTCATTCGTACACAACTCCAGTTCTTCAAAGTAAGCATAAGGCCCCCAACCTGCAAACAAATAGATTGTGAAACTTCTTTTGAGAAAATGGTTAATGCTATTCCCATGTTCTCATCCATCAATGTCTAAAGAAAGATTACATAATCAACTTTCAATGATCTCGTTCTCTTTAATTATCTCATTACATTAAAGGCAGCACAACTATAGCCATGCCAAATTACGGAGTCGCGGTGCAAGTAATCTTACAATCACAATACAACAACTACAAGATAATGTAGAGAAAATGGTTAGTGCTATCCCCATGTTCTCATTCATCAATGTCCCAAGAAAGATTACGTATTTAATTTTCAATTATCTTGCTCTCTTCAATCATCTTGTTACATTATGAGGCAGCACGACTATACCCCTGCCAATTTAGGGAGCTTTAGTGCAAGGAATCTTATGATGACAATAAGACAACTATAAGATAGCGTCAAGGATTTTTTATGACTACTAGAGGCCATAACAAATTGCTTCGGAACATACCTTGAGCGCGATATGGAGGTGGAAAGAACTGAAGATAGCAAAACCCTGCTACAGTAATCCCTGCAAAATTTCGTCTGCATGTTAAGCCAAAGAATCAAACTCACCACCGCTATGACTCCCACAAATTGCAGAAAACAGACAAACCTAGGAGGCCTCCAGCAAAGACATCCTGCCAGTGATGCCAGTGGTCATCTACTCTTGAAATGCCAACAAGAGATGCGACAAGAAGCGGGAGAAAGATGATGCATAATTTTGCAACATGACCTTTGCAATCAAATGCTTTAATCTTCCCAGCTAAATAAAGCGATAAGAAACCAAGACCCGCAAAGGACCCTGCACAATAAAAACCAAGCTACTCACATAACAAAGTTTGCCTGTGTAATAGTCCAATACACTAGATCATTCTTTCATATTTCGCATTGAGCATTTGGATAATACTATTAAAGATGACAAAGAGAAATGCTTACATGAAGTATGCCCGCTAGGAAAACTCTTGTGCCCTTCATCTATGACACTTCTTTTACCATGACAAATGACATTTCCCAATTGATCATACACCTAGGAATCAATTCAAGTAAGTGCTGCAAGCAGACTTGCGTGTGAATAGTCAGTTTATTCTGCAAAATTTATATGCACCTACATCTTTCCCATCTGGAAAACAACGCCAAAAGAAGTCTGGCCTAGGGCGGCCAACTGCAAGTTTTATGGCAATTGTTATAACTGCAGTGACTGAAGCAGAATACAAGAGCCCTGCCTAAACAACTTCCAATTAGCATAATCTCGGGAAAAAAAAACAACCACCATTGAATGATGAGCAGAGAATCCATGAGAATGGCACAAAAAGAAAATTTCACCTAGTACAGCATGATGGAGATCATAGAAGTCTCTCCTCCGAAGATACACGACCACAAATATCACCATTGGCAACAGAAGGGCATACGTCTAATATTTGTCGGGAAGAAACAAAAGAAAAATGAAATCCCCCACCAGTCAAAATTCTTAAACTTACAAACTGACTATTAAGGGAAAAAGAGTAGTGCAAAGAATGCCTACTGGAACAGCCCAGAAAGGCACTGAGTTGCTCTTCAGTGGATACTTGAGATTAGTCATCATATCCTTCCCGACGAAGCGATAAAATGGATGTATGAGATGGAGGAGGGACCCAATGACCACAAGAACCATAAGGATCAGCCAGTCATATATGTAAGTCCTTGCGACCATCATTCCACTGGACCTCATCATATTTGAGGCAATCTGGTTCCTCATTCTATGCTGTAGGATGAATGCACATGTTAGATGACAAACTGTTAGCATTACCTCCATCAAAATTGATGTTTCTTAAAAATACCAAAAAACAAAAACATCGATGCTGTTACAAAAGCAATTTGGTTGACGAGAAATCATTTCAGTTTCCCTCCTCCGGAAAGAATAGTAAAAACTATTGAAGGTTTACCGAGTATGCAGGCACATACACTAGAAACATGTGTCCTCTGTCAGATATGAATAAAATCAAAAACAGCAAAGGTACTACCAAAGAAAGGGATAAACCTGTTGGTTTTTCTGTTGTATCAACGGAATCTTGATAAGCGGAAAAGAAGTGCTGTTTATTGCAGAAGAGTCCAATCTTGAGCTTTGCACCTCCTAGAAAACCATGCAAAAAAATTATTTCCAAATCTGATAAAACAAGCCAAACAACTTCTTTTATTTCTGAATAAAAGGGTCATCCAACCGAAACTTCCATTTCCTACAGAAAATTCAAGATGGTGCATAAATAAGGAACCCATAGAACATCCCACATCGTTCACCTGTGATAAACTAGCAGGAAATTGAATCTGCAAACCATGCTATTTAAACACACTGCAAATATTGCAAGCTCCAAGTACTCGAATCCTTAGACGAGCACAAAAGGGCAGTTTTCCAGGATCTTGATGAAAAAGGAGGCTTGCAAATTAACAAGGTGTATTAGCGCACTTTCAGTTTCCAACTTCAACCAACTCCACTTTCCGTTCCATTCAATTCAGCATGAAGCCACAAAACTTTGATGCTGAAACCCTCCAATTTATTCTTTTTCTCCTTTTCTCAATGAAAGCTTCTCTCTGCTTCCTAACGTAAGCCAAAACCGATTCGCGAATTGTCCACACCTAATCACTGATGCTAAATACATCAAGAACATCAAATAACTCAAGGACGTATAATTCCCCTCTTTTCACCATTACAACGACCTCACAAGCAACTTCAATGGCAAGAGAATCTAAAGTGAAGAGAAAAGCCACCGACCTGAGAAACCCCCAAGAAGAAGATGCCCTTAAGAAAAGAAAGAAACCCAGAATCCCTCCGACCCATCGTTTCAACTCAACGTGAAGAAACCCCCACCGAACCCACCCACCCGGTCCCCCAACGAAGGGCCGCAAGCGCGAATTTTGGTCGATTGCCCATCGACCATTCATGCGTATGAAAGAACGATGCTCCCATTTTCTTTACCCTACTCTCTTTCACGGGTGTGCCACAAATAATGGGGAGCAAGGACTCCGACAGGAAGCTTCCCACTTTGTCGTGATCATACACGAGAGCCACACAAAGCGGTCGATTCGCTCGCGGAAAAGCAAAGAAAAAGGAGTAACCGTAGTAAAGCGCAAGAAAGATTAAGAAGACCAAACTGATCATTAGGAAAAGGCTATGCTAACAGTACCACAGTGCGTACAGGGTACAAGGGTGACGGCTTTAGCACCTTGAAAACTGAAGCTACTTTACATGATTTGCGGGAAAGTGAGCTTTTGTCGGACCAGGTTTCTTGCCCAAGATTCAACACGAGCGAGAGAAGAGAGAGAGAGAGAGCAGAGTTGTCCGTTCAAACGCCGGGCTTAGCGGCTGTAGGTGGAGGACAAGAGCACAACTCCGGGAGAAGCAGCGACGGATTGTATAAAATAAGACCTGGTCGCGTCTGGACAGCCTTCTTATTTTTCGGAAACCCCAAACGGGACATCGTACCATGAATTTATTACAAATTAATTTTTAATCATCAAAAACTCTTCAAACAGGTACACATATGATAAATTTATCCTAAACTAATTTTTAATCACTAAAAACCCCAAATTGATATATTTGTAATAATTTTACCCTCCGTTAAATTGAATTAATACCATGAAAAACTAAAAATCGGTACATCTGTGACAAACGGAGAGCAAAACCCTATACTGGTACACTCGTCAATTACCATGTGTCATCCAACTCAGAAATTTGACTGCAAAATTTAATGGAAAGTAACAGAGGGCAAAATTGTCATAGGTATACTGGTTTGGGAGTAGTTTGGGGTAAATTTGTGGTACATGTTTAGGGTTTTTCGTGATATTAACCCTTTATTCAATCTAAATATGATGTAATTCGACTTTTTCCTTATTTCGTAAATCTGTAACTTTCGTACCGTACAATTTTCGACACAAAAGTTCACATATAATATAACCGCAATTTTCTAAAACTTCCATCTGGGTATTTTCGATGATGTTCTTGCTAGGTGAGACGCGAGCGCACTTATTTCTAAATTATTGTAATCCGACTAGTGGTGATGAGCTTCTCAATATAGTAGTTATCTTGATGAAATGTTGTGTAATATAGTTTGAGCTAGAGAAGGCCTGCTGTGAACCTTCTCAGCATAGTAGTTTTTCGTCAGTTGGGGGATTCCACATTATAATCCTGCGTGTGCCCATGTCACTTTTGTCTGCTTGTTAATTAGATTATGGCAGTACTTATTGTGCCTATCTAGTCACAGAAAGAGGATAGAAGAAATCTCCTGGTGTCATGATGTTACGTGGTCGCACCATTGGTCTTTTCTGACAAAGTGGTACCAAAGCATTGGTTGTTTATATATGTGCCCAACCCAACCCATGTTCTTAAGCCCAGCTTACCATTTCATTTCCTCTTCAACAGAGGAAGCCGAATTCGGCGGAGACGACAACAAGAAGAAGACGCTCGTCGTGGAAAAGGAAAAGAAAATAGGAATAAAAAACGGGGAAAAGAGAAAAAAATTTATGTGGTGATGATCATGTTAATCTCACTAGCCAGGACGCTACATGGGAGTTGATTCGACCACCTCATTCCATGTTACTTCAAGAGGAGATATCTTCACATCCAACACCGTCGGTGATTACGGTAACGTTAGGATGGAGAATGACGGGGAAGCCAAGATCGTTGGCATTGGCGGCATCTATTCGGAAACCAATATGCAAAGCAAGCTGGTACTAAGAAATGTCAGACATGTTCCAAACATTTGTCTTCAATTGAACTCCACTAGTGTACTTGACAATGAGGGCTATCATAGTCACCTCGGGGAAGGTAAATGGAAGCTCGCCAAAGGTTCTCTTGTGGTGGCGAGAGGTGTCAAGTCTAGCACTCTGTATGCTACAGAAGCTTGGTTGTGCCCATGAGAGGTGAACGCAGTTGAGGATGCCTCAGTAGAGTTATGGCACAGGCTGCTTAGTCACAAATGCAAGAACGGACTGCAAATTCTCGCTGGAAAGAAATTGCTTCCTTTGAAAGGTACTCCTTTAGAAACTTGTGCTCATTTTCTAGCTGGAAAACAACATAGAGATGCATTTCATAGTTGTTATCCCTCTAGAAGATCGCAGGCTTTACAGCTTGTTCACGCTGCCGTATGTATGGTTGATGCTAGAACTCTTGGCAGTGCCCTGTATTTTGTTACATTTATTGACCATTAATCTCAAAAGTCTCAGCATTTGCTTTGAAAACCAACACTGAGGTACTTGATGTATTCGAGCAGCTTCATTTCAGTGTCGAGAGGGCAATGGAAAGGAAGTTGAAATGTGTTTGTGCAGATAATGGTGGTGAATATCAAGGTCCCTTTGAGAAGTATTGCAGAGATTGCAACGTCAGGCTGGAGAAGACCGTTGCAAAGACTCCATAGCAGAACGGAGTTGTAGAGAGAATGAACTCCACCATTCTCGAGAGAATATTGTGCATGCTCTCTCATGCAAAACTCCCTAAATCCTTTTGGGGTATGGCAATGATAACTGTAGTGGATTGATCAACCTTTCTGCCTTAGCTCCTTTGGATGGTGACATATCAGAATGAGTTTGGACAGCGAATGATATCTCTTACAAGCACTTGAGATTGTTTGGCCCCAGGCTCTGTGCACATCCCGTGGGATGAGGTCGAAGCTTGATGTGAAGTCTAAACTATGTATCCTACTGGGTTTTGCTCATGAAGAGTATAGTTACAGGTCGTCAGTTCCGATGGAAAAGAAAATTGTCAGGAGTAACTTTGGAGTATATGTAAAGGATGAAACCATTGAGCATTTCCAGAAAAACGAGAAGCCGAACTCAGATTCCAGAACTTTTGTTGATCTGCAAAAAGCACCTCCTAACTCTACCCTGATGGTGGGGAATTTGAACAGCATGATGGTCCTCCTACAACAGAAGTACCTGCACCTCATAATGATGTGGCAGATGAGCAAATTGCGGAAGTTCCTCCAGAAGCAGCAGTTCAGCCTCAGTTGAGACGTTCCACTCAAGAGCACCATCCCATATAAATCCTCCCTGTTTGTATGTCATGCTTACTGACGGGAAAGAGCCAGAGAGTTACCAAGAGGTTATGTCGCATGAGCTCAAGGTAGATTGGTTAAAAGCCATTCAAGAAGAGATGAAATCCTTGCATGAGAAGCACACGTTTGAGTTGGTGAAACTGCCCAAAGGAAGAGAGCACTCAAGAATAAATGGGTCTTTAGATTGAAAGCTGAAGAGAAGAGCTAACAGCCGAGGTACAAGGACTGGTTGTGAAGGCATTTGGCCAGAAGAAGGTATCTGACTTTGAACAAATTTACTCACCCGTGGGTAAGATGCTCTGTGTTTTGTTGGGCATGGCTGCCTGCATGAATCTAGAGACTGAACAGGTCTACGTGAAGACTGCTTTCCTTTGTGGTGATATGGAGGAGGATATCTATATGGAGCAACCCGAGGGATTCGCAGCGAGGTGAGGAGCACTTCGTGTGTAAATTGAAGAAGAGCTTGCATGGGCATAAACAAGCTCCAAGACAGTGTTGTAGAAAATTTGATTTGTTCATGGATACGGCAAAACGAATGCAGATCCTTGCGTGTTCATGAAGACATTTGCTGATGGTGAATTTGTTATCCTTCTACTCTACATGGACAATATGTTGATTATCAGCCGGGATGCAGAGAAGATTCACAGTTTGAAAGGAGAGTTGAGAAAGTCGTCTGCTACGAAGGACTTGGGACCAACTAAGCAGATCCTTGGTGTAAGAATCACTCTTACAAGAAGAACAGAAAACTCTGATTATCGCAGGAGAGATATATATCCAGAAGGTGCTGGAGAGATTCAACATGAGCAAGTCAAAGCCAGTTAGCACTCCACTTGTATGGCTTTTTAAGCTGAGTTAGTGACCTACAAGTGAGACAGACAGAGAAGAAATGAAGAAAGTGCCATTTGCATCGGCGGTTGGTAGCTTAATTGTACGCCATGGTATGTAACAGCCAGACACTGCTCATGCAGTAAGCGTGTTATCGCTTCCTCTCCAATCCTGGGTGAGAACATTGGGCAGTTTTGTGAAATGGATTTTCGGGTATCTCAGCGGCACCTCTAAGTCTTGTTTGTGTTTTGACAATGGCAAACTATGGTAGAAGGATACACAGATGCAGACGGGGTTGGTGACATTGATGTCGAGATATCTGGTTACTTATGCAGGGGAATTGGTGTCTTGGTAGTCAAAGTTGCAGAAATGCGTTCCTTAGTCAACGACTGAAGCAGAGTGTATCATTATCACAAAATGCTGCAAGGAAAACTTGTGGATGAAGAGGTTCCAACAAGAGTCAGGCCGTGAGCAAATGAATTTTACTGTAACCTGCAGCCATCAGAGTGTGATCCATCTAAGCAAGAACTTGATCTTTCATTCATATATGAAGCATATAGAAGTAAGGTATCACAAGATTAAAAAAAAAGGTATCACAAGATTCAAGATTCGCTCTGAGATGAAGGAATTGCTTTTAGAGAAGATTCATATTGGCAGCAGCGGATCAAATATGAAGACAAAAGCTTTGCCTCAAGGAAAACTAACTTGCAGGTGACGGCGGGCATGGAGAGCCTCCCTCCAAGTGAGTTGAGGAGGGAGATTTGTTGTGTGTGTGTGGGTTCCTCCAGGCATTCATCAACTTGGTCAAACTGTGGCCTTGACTCACTCGGCCAAAAATGGAAAAAAGAGAAGAGAGTCAACTTAGTGAGCAGAAGCATTTGAGAGAAAAGAGAGAGCTCGTCCGAGGAAAACACCGAGAGGAAGAGAAGAGGGAAAAAAAACCCTGTGTGGGGCTGTGTTTATCAAGAATCAGATGGCAATTTCAGTCTTGATTTTGATGGAAATTCTAGTATGTTGTTCATGGCGATGTACGCTACCTATGGACTGGCGTTAGTTGTTGGAAAGCCTATTCTACTCATGAATTTCCGCATTCTCGCTGGGTGAAATTCGATTTCACCTTTCTCTGTGCAGTAAGGATGAGCGTGTTGTTGTGATCCAAGATAGTTATCTCGATGAAATATTGTGTAACCTCCACTTGGACTAGGGAAGGCTTGTTGTAGCGCTGCTTTGCATAGTGGCAGTTTTGGGCGAGAGC